AACTTGGGACCTGGCACTTGTGAGGCAGGTGGCGGCACCACTGAGCTAAATCCCCCCCCCCGAATTCTTATGTGGCTCTTTTAGGCACACGATTCGTGAGTGTAGACGAGTGTCAGCTGGTAGCCCTGGTTCTCTGCCCTCGCCACACACGAGGGCACCTCTCGGTCACCTTCTTTCCCTGGTTCCGAGAGGCCCAAGGAGCAGCTGCTCATCTGGAACCAGAGGAGCCTGGCAGATGTGGGGTGAAAGGATGCGTGAAACACACAGTGGGTTGTGAGTCACAGAAGTTCACCCTGGAAACTCTGGATCTCTAGTGATGTTTCCTGCTCTCCTTACCGAGATTCCAACTCGTTTTTATTTCCTTTTCCAGTTTAAGCGGCTACAAGGCAAGAGGAACCGAGGGAGAGAGGAGATCAACTTCGTGGAGATCAAAGGTGATGACCAGCTCAGCGGGGCCCAGCAGTGGATGACCAAGTCATTGACAGAAGAGAAGACCATGAAGTCGTTCAGCAAAGTGAGTGGGAAGGCCCACAGCGCGGCCTCTGGAGGCCACAGCAGGTCTTGTCCTACCCCGCCCTGATGCCACACCCTGCCACTTCGAGCACCGCTAGCAAACAGGTGGCGCCTGTGGCCTCACTCGCTCAGGCATCCCTGCCTTCTGGGCTCAGCAGTGTGACCGCTGCCTGCCTGGCTGGTGAGAGGCAGCGGCCGTGCTGGGAGGGTCTCTGATGTGCTGTGCTCCTTCCCTGCCCTGCGGAGCCCACAGCCGCTTCACCCTCTCCCCAGGCTTAGCCCTCTCTTCCTGCGCTCAGCATGTCTTTGAGGTGTGGCCACAGCAGGGCGTCAGGAGTGCCAGGGCCTCCCGTTCTGAGCATGCAGCTCCTTCTTGCTCCTTCCTTACTGGGACTTATCAGCCGGCTGTGGTCTTTCGAGTGCTTTCTTCCTACATGTCCCACCCCATACTCCTGCCTTCTCTGGCTAGTTTTCTTCCACCCGTGTGATGAACGCCTCTTCACCTAGTAGCTGAGCACAGCAGATGTGGGCATTTATGCTCCTGCCATGGGGAGGAGTGTGGGGAAGCCCTGGACATGGGCCCAGCACCAGCAAGGCCAAGGTCGAGGATTTCATCCCCCTCCCCACTTTGCTTTGCTTTGTTCTGTGGCCACAGATGGCCATCCGGGCCCCAGTCGTTTGTTTTAACTGAACGCTGGCGGTCATACAGGGCAGAGCAAAGGATTGTGGTTAGATCAGCATAGATCCATCACTGTTTCCTGGAAAAACCACTTAGGAGAGCTTCTCTGCTAGCTGGGGTCGAGAAGCATCACATAGGAATAGCTGCCGTTAGCACTCACCGTGGTGAGGGACGGCATTGGGTGTTTTACGTCCATCATCTTTACCCGTCACATTAGATGACACGCAGTAGCTGCAAGGAATTAGAAGTTGCTTTTTCCCCAGCTCCAGGTTTTCTTCCCACCATCGCATCGTACTAAACTAGCTTTTTAAAAAGGAAGAAAAAGATTCGGTCCCTGTCCTCGAGGAGCTGACAGTGTAGTTGGGAAGCAGAGACTTCAGGACACTCGAGTGTAAATGATTACAGCGCAGATTGATCCCATAAGTGCTGAGGGCCTGGCGAGGAGCTCTGAGGCGGGCGGGGATGGCTGGGAAGCTTCTGGCCGAGACAGCTCTGACAGGACAGAAACCACAGGATGAAAGCCCGGGCCATATAGGCTCTGACAGCAAATCATTTGCCTCAGAGCTGGGTTAGGGCCTCGGTGTAGTTACAAGCGAGGTCAGGAGCATAGAGGCTGTGAGATTTCACCCTCCGGGGATGAGGGAGGGGCTCCAGCCAGGGCTGACGGAGAGCATGGTGAGCAGCACGTGGGAGACAGGCGAACATCTGGCCTGGGTGGGGAGAGGACAGAGATGAGAGGGTGGAGGGAGAGGCCACGGGCCGTGGGGGCCTGGACGGTGGGGGCAGATCCCCGCCCCAGCAGGTCATCTGTTTCAGACTGGCCGCGGGCAGAGGCTGAGTTGTTCGCCATGAGCTGGTGCAGAGGTAGGCCGGGCCCGTCAAAGAAGCAGCCGTCCTGACTCGGAGTGTTTCCAGGCTAGTGGGGATGTGAGCAAGCTCTTTTAGGCAGGCGTTCCTAACGGGTTTTTTGCATAATGGCTTTAATAAAAGTAACTGTTTTGTGAGTGTACAGACATAAAAGAATAGCTCCAAGCTGCGTTTTCTGACCCAAGATTTGCTTGTGTGTTGGTTTTTAACTCCGTGCTGGGCACATGAGAAACTTCTGCTTTTCTTCCTGTAGGTTAAGGACTGTTTTTTCTTTTCTTGCAGAAGAAAGGTGAGCAGCCAACAGGCCAGCAGCGGCGGAAACACCAGATCACCTATCTGATTCATCAGGTGAGAACTGCTGGGGCCCTGGCCAGGCAAGATCCCTACAAGCCTGGGAATCTAAAGGCTGAGATCCGGCCCTGTTTTCTGCGTGGCCACTAGGGGGCGATGTGTCCTTCACCATCATCCTGCTCTGCAGGCTCTGCGTGTAGGATTGGCGTACAAGTGCAAGTGAAAATTCAGATACCCAAAACAGAACGTCTAGGAGAGTGAAATGGCTTGTTATAGAATTTTTAAGTAGCAAATTTATCGAGTACTTTAAATAAAGAAAAAGTTGATGCATTAACTTAGCAAAGCATCCACCTTACAAAGAGATTGGCTCTGACTGACAGATGATGCAGAAGCATCTTTGGGAATGAGGGTCTCTGTGCTTGAGATGACAGGCGCCCTTCACATTCAATTCCTTCACACCCTTCTGACCCTGGTCCCGAGGAGTGTGCATCCTGTTTCTTTTCTCCTTGTCGTAATCCCCCTTCTTTTTCGGGAACTCCTCTGCTCTCTTCTCTCATCTTGGAAGATTTTTAGGGAATGTCAGGGTGGGCTCTTTAAGTCCCAGACACCTACTCCCGAGTCCAGGAGGAAGGAGCAGGCGTTGGGCACCATTGTGGGCCGGGGAGCCTCTTTCCCAGGGTGTTCCTGTGTGTTCAGCCTAGTGTAGAGCCAGGAGCTGTCAGGATCAGAAGAGAAAGGTCACTGCTGTAGTGCTGCTCAGCTTCCCGGCTTTGGCTGGCTTTCTGGGTTACCTTGTAGTGCTGGTAATGCTGCAGCCCGCACAGCGCAGGGCTGCATCTCAGACACAGTGGCTGGGGACGCCCTGCTATGACGCCCACCCGAGGCTGCTCTCTCTCTCTGCTGTTCCATGTCTGGGGCAGCTGGGCTGCCTGCCTTTCCGATGCCGCCTTCTTCTCGCCTGGCATTTCAGCTTCAATTCTGCAAAAGCGAGCACCAGGGTTCTTGTTCTGCTTATCCTCAGTAGCTCCCTAATTAGGTAGTTTTCTTTGCTTTCTTGGGGTCTTCCCTTTCTGCGTGGGAAACAGATTTGCCACTTCTCCACAGCTCCTCTAATGAGGGAAAGACATTACATGGAAACAGGCAGGAGGAATTCCAGACGAGGGTCAGAGAGGCAGCGCAGGGGTAGAGGCCTGCCTGGCACGCTCCAGGCATTGGGTTACGCACGCGCACACTCGATCCTCTGTGACTCCCCCATGCCTTCTTCTACCGCAGGCTAAAGAGCGGGAGCTGGAACTGAAGAACACCTGGTCAGAGAACAAGCTCAGCCGCCGCCAGACCCAAGCCAAATACGGATTCTAGGGCTCTGGAGCCGACCACTCCCAGATGTCCCAGCCCAGGCGGCACAGCCCCCAGCTTCGCCTCTGGGACCCCCACCACTCTAAGCCCAGGACCTCTTTCCCTGAGGCCCCAGCCCTCGCCTCTGCGAGAATGAACATATTTGATAGGTTTTTCTTAACAAGTTAGAAAATCTAGCTCCTTCCTTTGACAGATCCAGCAGAGACTTATGTGCTGCCTGCACGGCCAGCTCTGGGATGGGAGTTCCCTGCCAGGTGTGGTCAGATGTTGGACTCTCCCCAACCTTTTTTTTTTTTTTTTTAAACAAGGGATGTCTGTTAAAATAAAACATTCAGTCTGACAGATGCTGCCTGCCCCTACCCTTGCCCTCAGGGCCAGCTTGCGTGTGGTGTCCCTAGAGGACCCTGAGCTGCCTCCATGGTTGCTTTGCTTTTTTATCTTATTCACCATCTCCTCTGGGTTTGTGGCCAAAGATCCTAGAAATGTATGTACTGTTGTGTTGGGCGAGGTGATTTTTGGAGGGGCCTGTGATCCCAGATATGGGAAATACTGCTGACCTCAGATTTCTCTCAAGACAGGAAGTCAGAAGGTTGTTTCTGGGCACGATGGTGTTATTAGATGTAAAATTACATCCAGCAGGAAATGAAGTGGTGATATAACTCCCCAAAGGTGAATCACATTTACACTGATGTCACCAGGTGTGGTGGTGCACACCTGTAATCCGAGCATTCAGGAGGCTAAGGCAGAATTGCCACAAGTTTGAGGCCAGCCTGGACTGCACAGTGAGACCCTGTCTCAAAAAACCAAAACAAACAAATGTTAGATTGATGTCATTGGCCTGACCTGGTTCCGAAGCTCAGCATAATCTCCCTGAAGATTTCCAGACCCTACCCTACTGGGAAAGGGAGGAGCAGCAGTAGGGCTGTGTAACAGGAGGGCCAGGAGGTGGCATGAGTCCTTCCTCTCGGCAGGTGCAGTAGGAATGGTTCTGAGAATGGTGTGCAGGTTATGTGGGAGTCCCCACTGGAACCGTTCTGGGGCTGGGACTCGGGCTTGGTGGCCACGGCTGCTGTGGACAGCATCCCTGCAGAGGTCCTGTGGCACAGCCCTGGGGTTGCACCTGTAGAGGCGCCACTGGGTGTAGATGCTGCAGTCCACCCCTGCAGGGCCTGGGGAGAACCTGCTGCAGTCAGCAGAGGCAGGGCTGGTCCTAGGGGCAGCTCAGAAGGGCGCGGTGGGAGTCTCGATGAGAGGCACTTCCCTGGGCTCCAGCCTCTGTGTGCCTGGTAAGTTGAGGAGTCTGTTTCTCATTAAGTCCACTAGAGGCTTCCGTCACTTACAGGAAAAGCACCCGCTTATCTGAAATCTGACCTACTTCGGGATGGAGCCAGACAGGGCTCCTGCAGCCCACGGGGACACACAGGCTGTAGCTGTCCAAATCCGAGTGCAGCCAGCCCTTGGCCTGGGACTGCAGCCCTCACACCTGCCCATTCCCAGGGGCACTGGCCGGAGCTGAGGTCTTCAAGGGGCCAGGAGCCTGTGATCCCAGGTGCAGCCTTCCCGCCTTAGCAGCTGCCTCCTTGGGTCCAGCAGTCCAGCCTCCTCACCGTCAGGCTCAGGGTCCTCTAAGATGCGCTCTGGGCTGGGAGGGGAGGGAAGACACCCAGTCTTCCGGTACAGGCAGAGCTAGGCTGGACAGTTCTCAGGGTCTCAGGCCTCAAAACCTACTTCACTGTTTTATGAAAAAGCCACTTTGTAGTCCTTCCCGAAATGGCGTTTTTATTTGGTGGTTGGGATCTCTTGGTCACCAAGGGCAATGCTAGCAGGTTAGAAGATAGACTTCACTGGGAGGCTTCCTGGAGGTGGGAGCCTGGGTTCAGTAAGTAAACAGGAAACGACAGATGGGGGAGAGATAAGGACAGTAATGATACTTGGACCCGGGAGGTGGTGAACACCTACACACAATCCCAGCTGCCCTGGAGGCTGAGGCAGGAGGATCACTGCAAATTCAAGCCTACTCTGAATTACAAAGTGTTACCTTGTCTCAAGAAACCAAAGCCAAACAACCCAAAGACCAAAGTGGAAAAAGGTGGGGTGGGGATGCACCTCAGGGATAAAAGGGCCCTGGGGTTCAATCCTCAGTACTGAGGGAAAAGGCAACGTGGCTAAAATGGGCTTGGCAGAAATCACTGAGGGGCCAAAGGAGGGAGGTGGTAGGGACGCTGGAGGGGCCAGAGCCTAGAGCTCAGGCAGACAGAGCTTCCTAGATGGGGGGATGCTGAGGAGGCCAGGTCAGGGTTACAGACCCGTGGAGGCACCAGTGGCCCCTGGGGTGCTGAGCTTTGGCCCAAGAAGCCGCTGTCCTTTAAGAGGCCGGGTGAAGACAGGCCTGTGGGGAGTGGCAGAGGCCCTGTCCCATCTCAGCGTGAAGTTTAGTGGGGTGTGGCCCTAGCCTCCCCCACTTCTCAGTTCCCCGCCTGGGCTGCACGGCTTGGAGGGCCGGGAAGACACGGGGGCGGGGGCAGCTGCGGAGGAGCGCCGTCAGGGTCTGTGTGCCCAAGCGGCTGGGGCTGGAGGACAAGGTCAGGCCCTGCCTGCAGAGACCGGAGGGTGGTAGGAAAGTGGGAAGACAGTCCCTGAGAAATGCCCCCTCCTTCCCTAGTGAGGTGGGGAACCTGCCCTACAGTTGTCCCTTCCTCCCCCTTCCTGTGTGAGTTGCTCATTGGCTCCTCCCTCCGAAGTCCTGAAGGCAGCAGGGTGGGGCACTCGCCTGGGGTGTGAGGGGAGACTGCAGGGCTGGTGGAGCTCCCCCGCACGATGTCACAGAATGGTGGTGGGACTGGGATGGGAGGACAGATCTGCCCCGGCTCCCCGTCAGGCTGGAGTTGTCTGAGTTGAACCAAACATTGCCAGCCGGGGCCTCCCAAGTCCCTCTGGCCCCAGCAGTACAGCCTGCCCAAGCCCTTCGCCGGCACGGTCTCATCCGGGCATCAGCCCCACATGATTCCTCGATCTCCAGGAGGAATCGGGACAGCGACCCGGGAACACGGCTCGGGCCCCTCCCAGCCTGCTCCCGTTTCTGACTTTGCTGCCCCAGCTCTGGCTGTAGGGGCTGGACTTCTGCCTCCCCTCCTCCACCTGCCCGGGTACTGCCTGGTGACTTCAGTCTAGCCTGAGACCTTTCTTGCACTTTCAGCGTCCTTGCAGATCTCAGCAGCGCCATCTGCTCCCCGCTCCCACCACCCCTGCGCTCTCACAGGAGGGGTTTAGCCCTACAGACAAAGGAAGTGGAACCCCAACTCTGTCGACTCAGCATCCGAGGTTCTCCTTCAGCCGATTAGCGCTGGACTGGAAAGGAGGGGCCGCAGGGTTGCAGAAGAGCACCTCAGTCGGAAGGGAGGCCCCCAAAGGTGCTGCCTGGCTCCAGCCCTTCCAGGAACCGGGGTGTAGAGGAGAAACCACAGCCCACCCAGACCTGAGCGGATCTGGGGGGCAAGCCTGCGTTGTGACCCTCCAGGGTGGATGTGACCCTGACTGGAGCCCCCCAGCTTCCCCTGGGGCAGGAGGCTGGCCCTGCAGGGAGTGGGGGGTCACAAGAAGGGTGCGGCTGGAGGGGTGGGGTCCCAAGTGAGGCCAGGAAGAGAGTCCTGCAACCATTTCAGGGGGACCCCATCCTCCAAGGGGCTCACACACAGGCTGGCCCCACCCTGGTAGAGGGGCTTCCCTCGTTCTTTACTGGCACTGGCAAAGTGGGGCAGCTGCCCAGCTCAAGAAGGCATGCCGGGCAGAGGGAGCTGCTGTACCTGTGAGCCTTGTCCAGGGGTCTTTCAACCCCCAGACCTGTCAGCCCCACTGCGATGGCAGTTCAACCACACTAAGCCAGGGAAGTCAGGTGGTGTGGCGGGGAGAGAGACCGGAGGACCCAGATCCCCGAGGGGCAGGTTGTTGGTGAAGATTTATTAGCCAGACAAGAATCAACAAACAAGTTCTAACATCTGTTCTCACCAAACCACTCCTCAGACAACAGCAGCATTGGACCAGGGCCCAGACTCCAAGGCCCAGAGGACTGAGGAAATTAGACTCCAGGAGGAGAAACTAGGGCAGTGCCTCCTTGCACACGTCTCACCATCTTAGAGGGTCGCTGGCAGCGATTCTCAGGGACTCTCAGAATGAGCTGGTAACACGGTCCTGTGAGGAGGCACATACCACATTGGCCCCTCCGACCCCTAGGCTTCTTGGGGTGGGGGTGGGGGCAGGCTGTCAAAGGTATGGGGCTCAAATGGGGTTCTGGACCTAACCCTAAGGGCCCCATGGTAGAACTGGAAAGCAGGCAGATTTGCTACCTGAGGAAATTTGGCCCCTAGGCAGAAGAGCTAGAGGATGTGGGGAAAGGAGCACAGCACTGAACCAAGGAACTAGGAAGCTTGGGCTCTGGTTCTTGACCTTGGCTAAGGCACTGTGCCTCTCTGTCTTTATTTCCTTATCTGCACGGTGAGGGAGCTAGACTTGGTTAGTAAGAGCAGACAAGAGCTGCTCCTCCTCCCGCTCCCTCCTGCCCAGAGAAGACATCACTAATCAATCACAGTGCTCTTTTCTGCTGAGTTCAGATGTGACCTTAACATATTTTTCAGTGCTGCACTCTGGGCAGCCATGACCAATGGATTGGAGTTGGCAGGCAAGATGACACCTCTTTGCCATCCTCGTGATAGATCGGGACTGAGGTGCTTTTCGGCTTTGATTGCATATGGTTTCTCCTATCTACTTCCTGAGGTAACCCAGGTATGTGTGGAGGTCTCTGCCCCTGAGGGCCCAAGTCATCCTCTCCAGCACAGGCTCACCACTTACTGAGAAGGCCCAAGGGGAAGCCAGGCCAGGCCTCTGTCTTGAAGCACTTGTCTGGAAAGGTTGGGGGGCAGGGTGTGCCTCCAGCCAGGTGGAGGTTGCTGGGGAAGTGGGGGGCCTTGTCCCAGCACAGGGTTCTCAGGATACAGTTGCAGACTGCCTGGGTTCTGCAGAGAGGAAGACAGTCCTGGGTCGCAGCCTCTCCCCTCGGCGTGGTCTCAAGGGCAGAGGCAGCTGGTCTTAGCAGACTTCAGCTTCCAGAGCCCTCTCCTCCCTCCCTTCCTTCCACAAGCCCTCCTGAGTACCAGCTCTGTGCCAGACACCGCACGCTCACTCAGGAAACAGCTAAGAAAGCCCCAGGCCCTGCTCACAGGGGTTCATACTCTACTGAGGGGAGGGTGAGGGCTGAGATGCAAGGACGGGGTCCCAGGTGGCCAATGGCGTGGTGGGGTTGTGCAAAGTACAGTGGCTGAGCTCTGTGGTCAGGTCAGCCAAGTCTTTCCAGAGAAGGACAAATGGATTTTTTGCTTTGTTTTTGTGGTACTAGGAATTAAACATAGGGCCTTCACACACTAGGCAAGCGCTCTGACTGAGCAACATCCCAAATCCTCGACAAGCAGACCTAGAAGGATGGTTAGACGACTGTTGGGGAGCAGGAGGAGCAGGGGAGCAGGAAAGGCAGGGCCCACCCGCTGTGTTGGAGAAGGGTGCATGGCTTGGGAGGATGGGGGTGCCCGGCAGGGAGTTGAGGGGCTAGGACCCACCGAGGGAAGGAGGGGCCTCCAGGAAGGTCTGACTGCCTAGGGGCAGAAGGCTCAGAGTGGCTAGACTGGTGGTTAGGGACCAGTTAGGAAGCTCTTGGAAAGTCCCGATTAACAGAGAATGGAGTAGGGCTGGGGATTTAGCTCAGCCGTTCGGTGGCCTGCCTTGCAAGCGCCAGGACCGGTACCAAAACAAAACAAAACAAAAAAGAGGGGTTTTAGCTCAGTGTGCTGCTGCCTGTGGCCTCAAAAGTGCAAAGTCCCCAGTTCGATCCCTGGGAGAGAGAGAGAACGAGAATGCGAGGTATAGCTGGGGGGACATTTAGGAAGAGAGGCTGCAAGAATTCAGGAATTAGCTTTAGGAGTGGGGGCGAAGTGGGAGGAAATACGGAGGGGACTCCGGGTTCTGGGCTGGACAGATGGAGGGGTGTGGATCAAGACAGGGAACGGGGAAGCGAGCAGCGTTGGGGGCAAAGGTGAGGCGTTGGGCCGTGTGTGTGTGTGTGGGGGGGAGGCCAGGGGACACAGAGAAGCTGAGATCCACATCAGCTCTCCAGCTGCAGCAGTTGGCGGGGGTGTGGTGACAGTGAGGCCCATGGGCTGGGGGCGGGCAGCAGGGTGGGAAGGGTCCAAGGGAGGCAGAGGAAGAAGGGGCGGGAGTGGCCAGCGGGTCGGGTCGAGGCCTGGCGCGACAGTGCCATTCCCTGAATAGGCCTTGGAGGTCCAAGGGAAGACTGCAGGTGGGGAGAGAAACGGGGTGTCTGTGTCAGAAGCAAGGAATATGATATCCCCACCCTGAACTCAGATGACCTAGGGGACCCAGCGCCCTCCTTCCTGGGGTGGCAGAGCCTTGAAGGCTGAGGAAGAGGAGCCACAGAGGCAGGGGTGGGGCCCATCCAGCAGCAAGGAGCTGCCAACTAAACAGCGCAGGTGGCAAAAGTGCAGGGAGGGAGGGAGCTGCCCATGGCACCGAAAGTTCCTCTAGGGAGTAAGGAGGCAGGCGGGACGGACTCTGGAGTTGTGAGAAACAGCCATTACTGTCCAGCCCCTGAAGCATCCCAGGCAGTGGGTCACAGTCCCGTCTCCTCTTCCCACCTACGGGTGGCACCCTGGGCCCTGCCCCCGGCACTCCCTCACCTGGTCACCCACCTCTGGCCCATCCAGCCCATCCAGCTCGGCATAGACGTGGCCAGACGCCTCGGCAGGGCAGCCCCGGCCCATGGCATAGAAGGCGATGGGCTCCTCTGGCTCCTGGTAGATGGGGGGCACAGGCCTGGGCGGCAGAGCTGGGCGGGGGCGAGGCTCCGGACTGGCGTAAACCTCGGTCGGCAGCACAGGCTTGGCAGGGACAGGAGGCTTGGGCCTGAGCGGCTGGGCCTGGTCAGGGCGGGGGAAGTGAGTCCCAGCCTGGGCCCAGCGGGGGGCCCACCCCCATGGCTCTGCCCCTTGCCATGCCCCCACCCTAGGTCTTCCCCTCCCTCCTGTACCTCCTGTGGCGCCCAGGCTTGGGCCAGACTCCATTTTCGCAGGGAGTTTGGGTCCTGGCTTTTGCTTCTGAAGTCTGAGTCTTCAGTCCTCGGGGAAAGCCCCGCAGGCTCTGGGGTCTGCTGGGAAAGGAGATGGCCTGAGGGGCTGGGTGGGGACAGGGACTGGATGGGGGCTCTGAGCTCGGGGCAGGATGGGGACACAGAAGCTGGGCCTGAGCCTCAGGAGACAGAGGGGATGGAAGGAAGTGAGGGCGGCTACAGCCATTGTCGTGGCCCTCAGCTTCCTTCCGTGTGGAAGGCAGGGCCCAGCCAGTCATCCTTTGTGCCTGAGGTTGTAAAAATGCAACAGGCTTGAAGCCTGAAGCTGTCTTTAGCTTCAGGGAGATGAGAGGAGAATTGGTCCGCTATGCCCGTGGATTACTTCTGCAGGTGGGAGGAGTAGCTGAAGGTTAGGGTTAGGGTGCTGTGGGAGAGATCGGCCCCCAGGTGGAAGGTCATACACAGTCAGTCTGCTGCAACTCAGCACCAGCCTGGACCTGACTGCTCTCCACAGGCCTTGCTTCTGCTATGCCTAGGCCACAGGACTTTTCTCATGCTCCTTTGATCCACTGCAGGCTTCCAGGATCCAAACCAGAAGAACCTCTGTCCCCTCACCCCCGATTTCCTTCATAAATAAGTGGAACCTAAGCCAGGGGTGGCAGTGCATGCCTACAAGTGCAGCACTCTGGGAGGCTGAGGCAGGAGGCTCACAAGTTTGAACTCAGGCAGGGTAACCCTGTCTCAAAATAAAAAAGAACTGAGGGTATAGCTTGGTGCACAGGCCCTAGGTTCAAGTCTCAGCACTGGGAAAAAAAAAAAGTAGCAAGTCCACACTGCTGCCCAACAGCACCTTAGGAATCACTCACACACCCACCTCGCTCCCACACCAAAGCCAACCCAAGTCCTGCTCCTTCTGCTGCCTAAATATCTTTCATGTCTGCCCTCTTCTCCAGGTATCTGCAAGGGGTTCAGGCCTCCCGCTCCACCCACCCGCTTCCTCTAGCCCTCAGGACCCATTCCGCGGTCTCCCTACCCAACTCCAGGGCTGCCAGCTGCTCAGAATGAGTTCATTTCCTATGGGACCTGGGCTGGGACCCTGGTCCTGCACCTCCAGCTTTCTCAGTTCCAGCCCATTCCTCCTCACCCCAGACCTGCCTGCACCCTGCTCTCGTGCTTAGAAATCCTCGGTGCTTCCCCCAGAAGTCTGCACAGCTAAGCGCCTCGTCTGGGTCACCAGGGACTTCCGGTGAGATCTCACGATCAGGGCTTGACACACTTTTCTTTCTACTGGGCTCTCACAGCTCCATGCTTTTCTCCTGCCCGTCGTCCCTGTGCTCCGCCTCCTCTCTGCAAACCCAGAATGCTGGACAGCAGTCTGCCCGTCTGCGTCCACCTGACTCCAGGGTGCAGACCATTCTCGAAGGCTCCAGGCTCCATCTGATGCTGACAGCTGCGCCGCTGAGCCTCACCCCAGGGCCCCCACCTGGTGCTGAGTGCACAGTTCGGGCTGTGCTGAGGGGCCGGAGCCTCCCTAACCTTGGTCAGTGACAGTACCTCCTTGTACTCTCCTCATCCAATCCCGCAAAACCCTGCCAGCTGCACCTCTTACACAAGATTGGTAGGCTGCTTGCTGCTCCACTTCGACCAGGCCCCCGCCGCTGGCCCCTCCCAGACTTACCCGGTCCCGTCACCCCTCAGCTTATCCCACCTCCCTCATACAATCCCAAGTCCTCACATTCTGTTTTGTTGGTACTGAGGACTGAACTCGGGACACTGCACTTGCCAGGCGGGTGACAGAACCACTGAACTAAATCTCTGGCCCTCCGGGTCCTTACAGAGTCCTCAGGGCCTCAGCCAACCTCTCTGACCTCCCCTTCCACTTCTCCATCCCTTTGTCATGCTGATGCACCATGCATGCTGGCTTCCTTGCTGCTACCTCTGGGCCTTTGCACCTGCTGTTGCTCCAGCCTAGCTCGCTGCTTCTCCAGCTGCCTGCCCTTCCTTGACTCCATCCAGTCCTCTGTTCAGATGCGCCCTAATCAGCGTGTCCTTCAGTGATGCCCTGATCCTGCCACCATCATTCCCTTCTTGGTTTTCCTTTGGCACTAATTCTTGGACATGCTCTGTGCTACTAGTTTACTCTTATTATGCGTCACCTGTAAGCATCACCGGGGTTGGGGTGGTGGTCAGTTTTGTTCACCATTTCCCCAAGTGCCCAGGATGCCTGCAGGTACACCATGTCCCTCAGAGCTCCCTGGACTTGTGGGTGGGCACTCCTGTCTCCAGGGCCTGCCAGCCCGGTACCCACTAGGCACTCTGTAAGCATACCTTTATGATTTATTTTGAGCCAGAGTCTCACTATATAGCCCAAGCTGGTCTCAAACTCGAAGCGATCCTCCTGCCTCAGCCTCCCAAGTGCTGGGATCACAGGAGTGCACCACCATGCTCAGCTCTGCAAGCGTATCTTATATGCCTGTGCCTGGCCAGTGCCTGGCCCTGTGCAGCCCGGGTGGTCTCCTCAGGCCCCAGCACCTTGGAGCACAGCCAGAGAGGAGACCCTGGGTCGTCTGGGGAAGGGGCTGGCGGCCGCGGGCACTCATACCTGGCGGGCTAGGGGTTGGCTGAGCTTCTCCCCGTAGGGGCTGAGTGGGCGCGCCGTGTAGTGGCGCAGCAGGTCCTGCAGTCGTGCGTGGGCGCTGTCCTCGCCCAGCACCAC